TATCAAAAATGCAATTATTAGTATAATTGATTATAGTGTATGTAATTATTGTATTATAATCATGTGGTATTATTGTGAAGTGAAGTAAATTATCCAAGAGACAAGAAATTATATTCATATAAAAATCATGTCTAAAGAAATGAAGAAAGAAAGAAAAAAGAAAGAAGATTTCCATGGTTTTTATATACATTTCCTTAAATAGAAATTCTTCTTGTAATGAATAATTAAAAGTATATAAGTAATCGAAACATATACAAATTAAATATTAATATATTTAATCTAACATTTTATCCTCAAATTTAATCTCTCAGAAAGATTGATTAGAGCATTACTTTAATAATCTACGAGCATGGTTCTAATAATCAAGGTCTTATACATGCAATGAATGCTTTATTTTTTTTGTAACAAACGGACTCTAGGTTCATAAATGCGATAAAGCGGCCCTGACAAGAGAGGAGAAAGCAGCAAGATCAACGCAGACTGGTCGATAGGAGAAGAAATTTTCTCCGGATAGAGATGAAGAAAAGGGATTATCGTGAGATCCATGCAAGGGAGGATTGAAGAGGTCCGACAGGTTCTGCATCATTCTTCGTTCTTATGTCGATCTTCTCTCTTACCTGAGATGATTAAACTCGCGAGAGATAACGGCCTCGAAGCGGAGTGGTCCAGCGCGTCCTCCTTTCCTCTCCTAACTCAGTCCCCCTGCATTCCACGGTGGTATTAACCCTAGTGCCGAGAGAAGAAGCGACTGGTTGGTTGATCGCTTCTCGATTACCTGTAAGACCTGCAGCATAGACGGTGAAAGAACACTAAGAGAAAAATGCTTTGTATTTGTAACTATTTAATTATATATTACTATAATTATGATTATTATTGCTATAATAATAATAATAATAATAACTATATATATAGTTCTAGCAACAAATATAGTTGGCAATCTAAAATGACTATAACTATAATTATTATAACATAAAATAATTGAAACTATCATAAAAATGATTCAAGTGACTATAATTTTATAGTTACATTTTGGGACAATCATAAAAAATATGATTAATTATAGTCACTTGAATCATTTTTATGCTAATTTCAACTATTTTATGTTATAATAACTACAATTATAATCATCATCGATTGTCAACTACATATATAACTATTGTTATTATTATTATTATAGTAGTAATAATCATAATTATAATAATATGTAATTATAGTTACAGATATCAAACATTTGTCTCTCAGTGAGACAAGTGAAAAATTATTGTTAATTTGACAAAGTATCCCGCATTATAGAAAATTATATAGAAAATTGAGTCCCAATAAAATAAGTTAGTAAATATTTTTACATACACAACTGTAACTTATATTATGGTGAACAAAAGATATAATATGGTTTTTGAGTTATGATATTAAAAAGTATAAGTTTGATTAAGCCATTAAGCTAAAAAATTATTAAACCATTATTGAGTTTAGTATTCCTGACACTTATTCTTTCATCACATTATAACTTATATCATATATATGAAAACTTCTTTATTCAATTTTATTTTAATTCAATTTTAATATAAATTAATCCTTTTTGATATGAATTATTTATGGAGGAAAAAAACTGATAAGAAAAATTGTGCTGCAAAATATTGTGCTAAAAAAAATGTTTTGAGATTGTTTTTTTACAACAATATGATTTGTAAATGTAGTGTGCAAATTACAATGCGATGAAAAAATAACAAAGCATAATTCTAAAAAATAAAATAAAAATAAATAAAATAAATAAAATAAATAAAAAATTCTCGTTATATCGTCTCATTAATTCTCGATTCGTTTTTTTCTAAAAAATTTAACAGATTGACTGTATATCTTCACTGAACAAAAGTTATTAAATCTTTTAATACATATTTCTTTAAGCAGTAAAGTAAATTTACATTAAACAAATACTTACTCTATAAAAATGACAATTAAATAAAATTAAAAGTTATAGAATCAAATAAATATAGCTTTATGTTTAGTAAATATTCACTTAAAAATATTCAAACAAATACTTATCAATATTTTTTTTCAGTGTTGTACATCGCATCTTGAATTGACCAGGAAGCCATCGGCGTTAGATATTAGTGCGTGATATGTACGACTAATTATATCGAGCGGCATTATTAATCATCTCCGGAATAACGTATTCCGCGCGATCTATTGCGGATTCTCCGATCCCATTATGACTTTGTTGCATTCCTAGCTAATTATCGTCGCTGCACGTGGGTAAGCTAATTATCGTCGCTAACGTGGCCGGCGTTCGCGCGCGCACGTTTTAATCTGTCCGACAAATCTACCTGAATGCGCAAATTGCGCACACGCCATGCCGAATTGCATAATAGATCGGCCAAAAGCGATAACGCCCGCCCAAGGAACACATCAAAGTCAAACCAAAAATCAAAACGACTTTATGATTCTTGTCGTCAATAAACAAATTAATTTTGTAACAATAGAAAAGTGATGTCTATGAAAGTTTTATATTTTTGGTAATGTTTTGACATGTGACACATATAGTCTTAAGTTGAATCACACTGTATTAATTGATACTCTAATATAATAAAAAGATAATAGTAATTTAAATATTAATTGTATACGTACATATTCAATAGGATATACTTCACTTGTTTTCAAAGATGTGATAATTTTGAGACAAAGGTAGCGTTTATTTAGATCATCGAAATTTGTCGAATTTCTGAATCGCTGATTTAAATAATAATATTACAAAGTGATCTCTTCTGAAAAAAAAAATTATCATTTTGATTTTCATGATGTCAAAGTAAAGTCCTCTTGATTTGATATGTTCTTTATGCAGCGATCTTCATCCATCATTTATCCATTAGAAGTATCTTTTGTAATTGATTCGCTGTTGACGTATCAAGTTCACAATTCTCATCCCTTCATCATTAACATTACATTAAGTTTTTGATTAGGAATTCTATTTTGTTTTACATTGGAATACTAGATTGCTTTCGTCTGAAGCCAATTAAAACTTAAGAAGAAGAAGAAGAAGAAAAAGATCATTTCGGGTGCCTTAATTCATCTTGGGGCGGGGCTCATTACCGGTGCGATCGCAACGGCGATATCATTCGGACTTACAGGTGTAAATTTATTCCCCGCGCCCCGTCGAAGAAACTTAATATATGATCGTTTCATTCACGTTGCTTTCGTTATTCGTGTACTCGACGCCGCGGCCGGTCCGCCGAGCGTTACGAATCAGGAAACGGAATTAGGAAAACGGAAGGAAACGGGTGGAGAAGCGAGAACTAGTTAACGGTGACGAGGCGTACATACGCGTACATCTACGCATTATTGCTTTCGGAAGCGTCAGTCAACAGGGCTGGCAGCATTCAATGCGAACATCGAATGCAATTACGATTCAAGTGACTATAATTTTATAGCTATATTTTGGGACAACCATAAAAAATATGATCAATTATAGTCACTTGAATCATTTTTATGGTAATTTCAATTAACATTTTATGGTTATAATAACTATAATTATAGTCATTTTAGATTGCCAACTACATATATAACTATTGTTATTATTATTATTATTATAGCAATAATAATCATAATTAGTAATATGTAATTACAGTTACAAATATCAAATATTTGTCTCTTAGAATTGTTGTTAACCGGACGTATTGGTTTTGTAGACAAAATTTAAATTAGTTTACATCTAATTTGATAGATAAAACTAATAATTCTAATTCGAAAGCGAAGATATAACAATTAAAAACATTATATTTCCTTATATTAGATCGATCATGAATAAGCACATTACCAATGTAAGACAAATTAAAAATGATAGGGGACCGATGTCTCTATAAATTAGACAAGTTTATAAAGACACATAAAGATAAAAACCAACATTTAGATAATAACAATATAATCTATAAAATTAACTGGAATGATCGTGATGTTTTTTATATCGAACAAACGAACTAGAATGAAAGAGCATCGTAATAATGTAAGATTAAATCAGTAGTTACAAAACATATTATTAGCTCCAATCATAGCTTTGACTGGGAAAATGTTGAAATTTTGGATTATGAGACAAATTTTCGGAAAAGAAATATTTCCGAAATGATTTACATTAAGGGGCAAAATAATGGTATAAATTTAATGAAAGATAGTTATTTTAATGTACTACGACATATACGTGAGCATAATTGTTAATTTTTAAAACATACTTGTTTATGTCGCGATACATCGATATATACTTTATGACCCACAATATTCAGTCCATTCCATATCATCTAACAATCAACAGCGTTTCATTGTACACGAGGACTCAGTTTGAAATTGATTCAATTGAGTATTCTGTATAAATTAACGTAAGCGAAATATAAATTCTTATCAATACTGAATAAAATAC